GGACTGCATATAAACAGAAATACAGAAACTTTGGCAAAGTTGTATAAAAATATGCAAAAAACTCCTGTGCCAATACAGGAACTGAACACTCTGGGGAAGTCTGGGAAGAGGCAAGAGTTAAGAGAAAGGGGACTTCTAATCAAAAGAGGGAATCTGTCAAACAAAAGGCCTAATAGTCCCTGAATTGCTCTTCAGCACAAAATAAACCCGAGGTCTTTAACCACCTCACATCCATGATCAACATCTGCCTTCTCACCAATCACACAGGTCAAGAGGCCTCAAACACCTGCACCCCAACTCCATGACTCACACACTTAATCCCTCATTCCTAACGAGGAAGTCTGGGCCCCGAAGTCTGGGCCTTCAACAATGGAAAAGATGAACTTCCCAAATGCAGTTCAAAAGCTGTCACAGCTGACAACGTTTAATGAGCAGGAGACAATACACTGAGAGGGCACTAAGGGAGGAGTCCTGCCAACTCCCTTCCTGCTGGCACAGTGACCTGCTCCTCCCCACACTGCCTTGAGGAAAACAATCTTATCCAGGCTGGAGCTTTGCAGGGAGTTGATCAGAGTACACATCTCTTTCTAGGGAGATACCCAAGAGGAACATGAACTAGTCTTCGGAACACTGAGAGCAATACTGGCCAGTTTGCACCAGCTGAGGATTTCCCAGCTAGAAACTTTACTGAAGGCATCAAGATACTGAGAGGACAATAAAACTGCAGCTCCAGCACATACATAAACATGGCTTTTTGTTAGTACCTGTAGGTAAGGCAGGTCTTACACAGCAGCAGCAAGTGCAGTCCAGCTCTTGCTTTTCCTTTGTGTTCAAAACCAAAAGAAGTAGAGCCCGGACTTGGTTAAGTTATAACCTAAAAGGCTTCCACTTCATCCCCACAAATACACTTGCACTATGTATTTTCCCCATGAAAATGAGCACCTAAACTTGGCCAACACAGGCTAACATCTCATGCTCATTAATGTGGGATATTTTTGATTCTCTCTTCTTTTCAAAATCTTGCTTTACCAAGCAAATGGTTCACTGTCCATTAAAAGCTTAACTAAGGAAGCCTTTACTTCTCAGGCATGCAACAACCCTAAAAAACTCTCAGTCCAGACCCCAGCATTGCTATGGAGTAGAGTTACCTCCAAAAAGGCAGCCATTTCAGGGCAGGATGATGAAAGCATCTCCTCAAACACCTGAAACACAACTTCAACAGCTGCTAATCTCAGGCTCATGGCAGCGAGGGCTCCACCGGCACCATGGTCTCCATTAGCCACCAGTGTGCCATTGCCCTCAGACCCCCAGAACCCCCATCGTCCTTAGACCCCCAGAGCCATTGCTGTCAGTCGCCATCACCACCATTGCCCTCATACCCCCAGTACCCCCTCATTGCCCTCAGGCCCCCAGAACCCCCATCACCCTCAGACTCCCAGAACCACCCTCAGGCCCCCAGGCCCCCACTGCCCTCAGACCCCCAGAGCCATCACCCTTGGACTCCCAGAGCTATTGCCCTCAGACTCCCAGTGCCATTGCTCACAGACCCCCAAAGCTATCGCCCTCAGATCCCCAGAACGACCACCACAGCCCTCAGCTCTCCAGTGCCCCCATCGCCCTCAGCGCCCGCGGTGCCGCCATTGCCTGCAGCCCTCCCAGTCCCCCAGTCCGCTCAGCCTCCACCACCTCCCGCCATCGCTCAGTCCCCCTTAGTCCCCCTCAGCTCTCTCAGCCCCGCCGCTCCCTCTCAGCCCTCACAGCCCCACCGGCTTCGTAGCCGCTCCGGGCCCTCTCAGCCTCACTGCCCCTTCAGCGGCTCGCAAGTCCCTTCACCCCGCCGGCACCCGGGCTGAGGCCGCGGCTCGGCGCGGCCGGACCCGGGCGGCGGCTCCTCGTCCCGGAGGGAGGGACTCGGCCGGCGGTGGGCCCTGGGGTGGGTCTGGTCCTTTTTACTTGTCAGATTTTAAACTTCCACATATAATGTTTTAATTTAAATGGTAAGATAGGTAAAGTATTTTACTTTTTTTTTTTTCAAATTTACCTTTTCAGTAGAAAAACAGCGTTACTGACCAACCAATACAGTTTGAGGAGCGCAAAAATTATTTGCAAATGGAATCCGGATCAGAAGTAGCAAACTGAATAAACAAAATTAAATAAGAAATAATTTTGAGTTGTGTGTTGGGTCAGTCCTTAATGACAGGTTCTCCCCACGTAGAGTTCAGCTGAACTCCGTTGCTTTCAGTGTTTTCAGGAATTTTTGGGAGGCTATGGACGTGAATCTATGCGCTGGGAAAACAAAGTGGATTTGTTTAAATAATGCAGACTTCTACCATCTGTAAATTTTTCTTGTAGTATATCTATGTATTAGCACAAATGTTTGTTTGCCTGATCTTTGTCTTGTTTATATATACAACTAATACATGTATTTCTTTTTTTTAATTTTCTACTCGACAAGGGTTAATATAAAATTGGAATAAATTTGTATTAGCATTTTTTGAAATAAAAGGAACAACAGCTTTCATGTCATCTGTCTATTTATTTATACAAGTATCCATGTTTTCGACAACAGATTTTGTAGTAATCTTCCCTTTTTACACTGTTTTTCAGATATAAACCCAAGCATGTATTTAGTGAAAAACACTGTTTTCCACAATGGATCCTCATGAACTCAGTGAAAGCTCAGTCCTTTGTCAGCTGCTTTAGGAACCAAAAGCATTTTCTGCTGAAATCCTAGTGACTGCTCCTTTATTTTTATTATGGCTTATGACTCTTCAGCCTCAGCCCCTAAGAACTGCTAAGCTTTTGATTGTGGCATTGTAGTTCTGACTGAGAAATATGAAAATTAAGGAAAAAATAGAACAAAAGAATAGGCCGAATTCAGAATCAACTCAATCAAGCAGAGTATAAAGAAACACATTCACCGTGACAAAAGGCCCTTAATTAAGGATGAATTTGTGTAGTATTTATGAGAACTGGGAATTAATGGAGGAAAGAGATTTAATCAGAAAGAGCTGATGAAGTCTCTAACAGAAATCATTCTTTCAGAAGGCTCAGTTTTGTGACAAATGTGTCCACTCTTTTATCTTTGATTGCTACAGTTGATTAGATGTAGCATGGTGGGAATGTGGTGGACACTGGCTGGGTAGAAGGCATTGAGAAAAAAATCAAAATATATTAACATAGGCAAGATTTAAAAAAAAAAAAAAAAAAGTGTGGGTGCTTGTTTGTTTCTGTGAGCTTTTTTTAATGAAGTGACAGCAACTTTTTAGCATTTTACAGTAACAGTATCTTCCAGCCCATCAACATTTAGCTCACATTTACGCACTTCACTAAATCTCGGGGATTATAGTTACCAGTTGGTCATAGATACTGCACTGAGAATTAAATTTGGGTTCTTCCTTTCAATTTCTGAGTATCTGTAATAATGATAAGAATATTCTCCAGGTACCTAGAGTTTTTGCTTGCCTTTTTTTTTTCCATGTAACCTTTCTACCTCTGAATTGAACGTAAAGCATAAACTATGCAGCATGATTCTGTGTGTGGAATATGAATGCATGTTTCAAATGCTTGATCATTTTGCAAAATGAATGTGGTATTAATTGAATTGGATTGGGGGAGTAGATAAATACCACAACAAAGACTATCATTATGAATCAAAATAAAAATGTGGGAAAACTAATGAGAGAGGTCACAATTAATGAAGTTCATGAACTAGAAAAAATATGATACAGTGCTACTGACCCCTCTGAAATTATGAGTGTATAGCTGCAATGAGATTCCAGTAGAAAGACTATGTGGAATCTCATCTGGAAAGTCCTGCAAGCAAAGGCAAAGAAAACAACAGCAAAAGGAAAAAAACTCCAAAAGAGTAAAGTTACTAATCTTTTTAACATGGCATGTAATGATAGGACAAAGGCCAAAAGATGCTCTCCAGTCACAGTCACTGCCAATTTTAAAGATGCTGGAATAAAAACCTTAGGATTTAAACATGACAAAGTCGAAGAACTGGTTACCCTATGATAACAGGTTTCTGTGCTATGAGTATATATAAAACTTGGAAATTAGTCACCTAGTACTGTTTAAGCAACTGTTTTCTAATGCAGAAAAACCCTGCTCTCTCCCTCAGCAGTTGAGAGATTAAATCTTTTTAAAAGAATGTTTAGACATTCTTGTCAGAAGGAAGATAAAAATGATTGTTCTGAGGAAAATATACATGAAAATGTTTATTCTAGACTTATCTGAAGCAGCGTATCAGCAGCTAATGAGCCATAATGAAAATGAAGATTATCTGGAATGAACCAATCAACACAAAACCAAATAACCAACTGACCAAACAAAGAAACCCCAGAGAACCTGAAGACACTGATATATCTAAAGCTGTTTTCAGGGTGCTGGCAGCTGTCTCTGCCTGGCTGCTGGCCTCTGGCAACCCTTCCAAGTCCTTTTCTATGTCCATGTCTCCGTGATTAGCAGGCTGGGGAGAGATGGCTTATCCTGGCGCTGGTCCTGCTTTTCAGGATACATTTTGATTCCTTATTTTAAGCAAGATTTATGCTTACACATCTGCTGACCCACACTCAGTTTTTATCCTTTGTCCTAATCTATCTCTCTGCCATTGAAGGGAAGGATGTCATAGGAATTGTGTCAAAGGCCTCACAGAATTCCAGATCAGTGGCATTTGCAACCCTTCCCTTGTCTACTGGGACAAGGCCAGTCCCTCATAGAAGGCCACCAGGTGAGGTGGCCTCCTCCTATGAGCATGTTCTTGCCACCCAGGCTCCTGTGGGGTGAGTCCTGTCTGCAGGCAGCCCCACACATCTCACAGGATGACCACTGTTTTAGAAGCCCTTCCCCCACAGCGGCTGCAGTGGCATTTCCGTATCAGGAGGTGCTGCTGGAATGGCCTTGCCTGGGAGCTCTGGGGGCCCTCGGATGACTGTTGGGCCTGAGGGGCAGGGAAAGGCACCATAAGGGGGAGAAAGCAGCACCTCAAGACTTTGTCAGGGAAATAGTAATTTATTTGCTTCTGCTTGGCTAAAGAGTTTCTGGAGCCCTGCTACTGCCACCTGCGAGGCCACCTCTCGCTGGGCTAAGGAGAATCCTGGGGGCTGGGGACCCTCCTCTTTGAGGGTTGCTGGGATCCCCTGGGTGAGTAGCCCCTGCCCCGTCAAGGAGTGGAGGGGCTGCGGCTGCTGCCCTGGGCACAGGGACCTGCCCCCTCTGGCTGCTCCAGCCCCTCCCAGTGCTGGTCCTGCTCTGCAGGGTCGGGCACAGCTCGGGGGCAGCTGGGACTCCCTTGGAGGCCAGTGTGTGATGTACCACCTCCCTCCTCCACCTTGGAGCCTGCAGGGCTGCTGGTGGGAGTTCTGTCCTGGGAGCTGCTGGAGCCGGCACTGGCCGCAGGCCTGTTGTCCTCATCTCTGGTGTGGTGGAAGCCCTGCAGCCTCTGTACCTCCTCGCTGCACTGGCTCACGATGACATTGATGATGTCATGGATCAGTGGTGCTGTGTGCCTGCTGAGAAGGGGCTCCAGCACCTCCACCAGGACCTCAGCATGCAGCCCACAGGCGCAGAGGCCATGCAGGATGGATCCCTCTGCAGCCTCTACCCTCCACCACTGCTCCCCGTAGAGTGCAGCCAGCCTCTGGCGCAGCCAGGACCGTGCAGGGTCCAGGAGGTGCTGTTGGCAATGGAAAAGTGCTGCCCACACCTCAGGCAGGATGCCACCCACGGGCTCCGCCCCTGCATCCTCCTGTCGAACGGGGGACAGTGTTCCCTGTGGAGAAGGTGGACTGGGCACCACAGGGTGCCGGGGGCTGTTCTCAGCCAGGCAGAAGCGAGCTCTCCTTGCCTGGCGGTTGGTCTCCGTTTGCTCCTCGGGGGCTGTGATTTCAAACTGGATGTAATCCTGCTCGCCCCGCTCAGAGAACCTGACAGTCTCCACTGGCCTGCTGCAGAGTGGGCACACTGGGGTTGTCTTTGCCCACCGCAGGATGCAGCCCAGGCAGAACTGGTGGTGGCAGGGCAGAGTGAAAGCCACATCATTCCGAGTGTTGTGGCAGATGGGGCATCTCCACTGTGTCTCCGTGGCCATGTCTGGTCCCAGCAGGCGGGGGGGAGCTGAGGACCAGGAGCTGCTCCCACTCACAGGCACTGTAGGGCTGGAACCAGTCTGACCCAGGCTCTGGCAGCACCCAAGTATAATCAACAAGGGACATGACATCACAATCATGTCACATCTGCCACTCACTGATGTCACAATGGGACGTCTCGCACCTGAACACGAATAGCAAGGAATGCAAGGTCACAATCCACCACCCAGTGATGTATCCACCAACCAGTGGTGTCACAGTGGGATGTCCATCCTGCATTCCCTTGTGCCTTCACACACACATCTTCATCATAAGTTTTTTGCTCACAGGGAGCGGAAAGAAAAACAAACAAAAGGAAAGCAAAGTATAATACCAGTTGCTTTCTACTACTGAGGTTTTGATTACACTCCTCCAGTCTACAGCTTCCAGTGTCTTCAACAAAATAGTTCTTGCATGCCATTCAGTTTTTTTCATATCTAACTAGCTCAGTAACCAGTTAACTATTTACCAACTTAACAGCTCCCAGAATAGAATAACAATTACGATTTCAAGTTAATCATAGTCAAAGGCTTAAAATCTTCTCAAAGCTGCAACTTTGGATTGACCATGATCCAGATATATTCAATATATATACTGGATGTATTCAGTGTTGTGGCCAATAAAAGGCAAAGGGTTGTATGAAATAAAACTGGCTAAAAGATGCATTGCATCAGATATGTGTCAATAATATCTTCTGAAAGACTAATATTGCTTTGTAATAATTCTGAAGGTCCTCAGATGCCTACATTTTTCTGCCCTTAAAATGTAAAAATCTTTCTGCTTCTGACAGTGCGAGCATTCCCCAGGCCGTTAAAAGACTTTTGGAACATATGACTTCAAATAAGAAGTGTTTGTCAAATCTTTTATAAAACTTAGGGAAAACATTGCAAAATTCACATTCCTGAACAGAACTAAGATAATTGTGCCTATGTTGTATTCTTCACTACTGTCAGTGGGAACAGGTAAGATTCATTTAGAGGCTCTGGACTACAAATGCCCCATGAACAGGCTTAAACGGAGTCAGCCATCAGTCGGGGGATTCAAGAATTAGCATCTGTTACCTTCACTATGCTGCCTTTTGAACTTCCCGATATTAGTCAGCCTTTAGGATTTAATTATGTCATTAAATCAGTACTTGCTAATAGGATTTTTTTCCTGTTATTATCTTTTTTCTTCTTTTTTTGATACTACTAGCTAATAGTGTAAACTCTCATCTCTTCAGAGGTTCACCACTCCCAGACTGCCAGAGATATAACTCAAGAGACTTCTATTTTGTGGGTGAAAAGGGAAAAAGGCTATGCTTCAATGATTCTTTAATAAAATAATAATTAAAAACATCCAGCTTTACAATTCCTCCTGCATTCAAAATAGCCAGTTGCAAAAGCAATAAAGGTTTTAAGATTGGAATAGAAAAGCCTATTTTCTGAAGTATTCACTACTGAAAAAAACTGCTTACAAGCAACCAAAGTTATTTTCATTACATCTTACCTGAGCTGAGATGTTGGCCATTGAATTCTGGGACACACCAGCCTGCATAAGGGTTTAAAATGCTGCTGGAGGCTGGGCCAGCTGGTCTCCCCACATTGCAGGCAGCAACACAGAACAACTTAATCATTTACTAACTTATGCTAAATATATTCCATTTCAACATATGTGTCTGCACCACAGATTTAGGATTTGTTCACATGTAACACTTTTCACAGAATGTTAAGGTTGAGTATGCTACAATTAGGGCAGCAATAATAGGGCTTGTTTAACAAGACACACTACTAAGTTCATATTATTTAATGTCAGTAACTTCACTTTATAAGCTAAACTAAATGTTCAAGACTTTCCATTGGGAATCAGTGTATCTGATGGCATTTTAGAGACTAAAAGGTATTAAAATACTATAAATATATAATACTCCTATTCTATACAGCATGTAAACATAGTAAAATATCCTGATTACAAGGGAGTTATGTTTTTCCACTTTAATCTCTTCCTGAAGCTTTGCATAGGTACCGAGGATAATTTTTTTAATTCATTTTCAGCCTTACTATAAAAACACAGAACTGTAGAGCCAGAAGAAATGGAAGTATCTGTGACAACTGAGTCAAAGGTCAAGACTGGTACTAACAAAGAGCTTGTCTTTCCTGAAACCTTACATAATTTCTGATTGCAAGGTGGACAGTAGGGGAGGAACACGTAAACTAAATTTTGGGCTTGTTTGCTGAGTTCAGTGAAGTTGCCATTGACTTACGGCACCATAAGTGAGAAAAGAATCTCATCCAAATACTTCGATCACACTCACAGAAAAATGTTTTCTGATGGGAAGATTTGGCATGTTTATTTTCACTAGGCACTTCATTCAAATCATTATCTACATATTCTGTGTTCAGAAAGTGTAGTGGTCTTCACTTAACAGATGCATCTGAATTAATCAGATTCCAAGTGAGAACAGGAATTGAATCCTTTTCCATGGATTGTAATGTGCTAGGAGTCAGATGGAATGCAGAGCATGCCTGGAACCTATTCCACGATGACTCCCCACATGCACAATCTGCAGCCTTAAGCACATGCTAAGGGGGATGAAATGGAGGGTGGAGCAGAGTGGAGACACCATGGCCAGGCTCTGTTGATATCCTTATGTGAGATATCAGAGTGAAGGAAAATATGAGAATTGCTGGCTTCAAAGAATGCATATTCATCATACGCATGTATTTAAATCTTGTGTAATTGCAGAAATTGGTTTTAAAAATTTTCCTTCTTTTCCTCTTAGAGAAATCCTCTGCACTACAAAGTACAATTGATTTACAAGGAGATACTGTTGGAAATCACTGCCATGATCTTAACCAGTACCACTGATACAATGTAAATTACAGTCAATGGTTTTGACTAGAAACACAAAACACAATCCCCCCCCCAAGTCAAAATTGCAGGAACCAGAATGAGGTTTATTAACTTCCAGAAAAACACAGGGTTTGCATAGAAGAAACTGCTCTATTATAAAAGATAATTATTGGTAAATTAGCTTAACTCTTTCACCTGTATACATTTCTCATGTTCCACAGGAGCTTTAATAAATTATCCCCAGAAATTGGCTGCATCCAAGCTTGACTTGATGTTGTGCATATTTTCCCTGCGTTGTTTGGTATAAACATTTTCTTCTCCCTTTTGCAGTCGTTGCTTCAGAGCAGCCTTTTGCTGTTTGGTCAGCTGACGTTTTATCTTCTGTTTCACCAGTTCCTACAAACAATTTGGCATCAAAACTGTCTTTAGACCATTTAGCACCACAACACAACACAACAACAGCACTTTTTCAGCACCAACATGAACAAGACTGCAGAAAGGATGAGCAGAGTTGCTTCCTTGTAAGAAAATCATAAAACAAATCAGCTGACTGAAAAGGCAGATTCTTTGCTATGGACAAAGTCTGCATGGAGCACTGCATGTGTGTTAAATGCCATACCCCAAGGATTCCCAGCATCTAAAGGGGTTATGTATCCTATTGTCTTCTCATAGTCTTAGGTGTAATAAATAGCATTTTAAATCCTGCCTTGTGGAGTTTTAAGTGTCTTTTCTTAGAGAGATGATAAAGGACCAATACCTCTTGATGCAGAACACATTCCTTCCACAAAAATGTAAAAGCTGATAATCTTCTAGAACACTTCATGTCCAGCAGTAATTATTTGGTTTGTGCCTATTTTTTTTTTAGCACCCTGGTTTTTCTGAAGTTTAGATTACAAAGATCTGAGCGCTTCTAATGGAAAACAACGATTCCTTGCCACAAGTGTGGCTAAGGCAGACGGGCAGTCAGGAGTGATTTACAATTCCTGCTCCAGTTTTCCTGTTGTGAGGCTCTCTCCTGTTCATATTCACAAGGTCAGGACTGTCTCCTGCCTCCACAGTATAAGCACTGAAAAACAGTGACTGCCATTTACACAGAACTGCAGTAGTTTTATGAAATTTCATGTTACTTGCACCTGTGCTTCATTCTGCTATGGATGACATGGTAACAGTCTTTGTAAAGACGATAAATGCCAGAAGACAGTTTTACAAATAGGTGCTAGCAGCTATGTGCAATTTAACATGGTCTGAGAGCAATAAGAGCATAACAACAACAGTATTTACCGGAGGAATGGTGGAGCAGCTCCCAACACTTCTCACTGATGAGATACTTTTAGTCCTTGTTCTGTGCCCAGCAACAGGAATGACACGCTCCTCACTAATAAAACACATACATCAATGTATTATTCCACTAGCAAGACAAATATCCTTTGCCTTTATAAGCACCGTGTTTGAGTCTTAACATTCTGGGATATAACCTGAAAACTCACAAGAGAACATGCCAAGTGCTACAAAACATTTCTATTTTAAATATTAACACTAGTTTTTCAAAACAGGCATTTCAGAAAAGGAAGAAATTTGTTGCACAACAGTCACATGTGTATCATGCACACAAAGAGAAGCCTCAGGGCACTAAAAAGAAACATTTTAGATCCTGCACAATGTTTTCATGAGTCATTTACTGAAAAGCAAAAAACCAGATGACGACTGTGAGCTTGATCTATGCATCCAGGTACATGGTGGGCTGGCAAACTCAGGAGTTAAATTTCACATACAAGGGGCTAGTTGGAAGGTAAGCAGGAATTTCTAAGTATGTTGGGAGAGGAATTAAAAGCTAGAACAACACACAGTGCAATGTATTTTAATATTACAGTCCAAGGCATTTGTTTTAGCTAACTTCAGCTGAGTAAGCAGCAGAACACTTTGACACAGAGTATTTGAATTATAAACTTAATTGTAAAAGTTATTAAGAAGTAGTATTTTAACATAAAGAACTACTCCACTACCAATATTAATTGAAATAAAAAAGGGAAAAAAAACCCCCACAGAAAATAGGTTGGTCTATAAAGTGCAACACCTGTTTTCTCATTAGACACTATTACACAGCTAGACAATCCTAAGACCAACAAGAAAGATATTCACAGCAATGTTTTCAAAATAAACTGCATTTTTAGTCTTCAGTTTAAACAAGGGTAGCTGAAGAGCAGTCCTTCTTGAGCTGCTTGAAAGATTCACTTTTACTGGGAGGAGGGGAGGAACCACATCCACTCCTAGATAGCAATTATGAATCTTTACCTGTAATGCCTGAATTCCTCATTTAAAGTTGACGAGTCAACCAGCTCTGGGCACTCATCTTCGTTCTCCTTGTCCTTACAGGACCCTCTTTGACCCCTCTGATTTTCCACTTCAGCAGCATTTTTGTTTATGCTTTTGCCTTTAAAAGAAGTAAGCGCTGAACTCTCTGCATCTCCATTGCACTTCCAAAGCATAGCTTGCCCTCCAGCTTTCTCCAAAGCTGAACTCAACTCTGCCATACTCAGCCTTTGTGTATTTTCTCTACTTTCAGCTGTATCAGCCTCTTCCTCACTGCTACACACGGCATTGTCAGAGGTCCTGCTTTCAGAGAAATCACCCACTTCGTACATGATGTCTTCATTATTTTCTCCATCTTTGCTGAAGAAGTTGAGTTTGTTCTCAGCATCTTCTACAAGCTCTAGTACCTCTGTTGTGTTGTCATCCTTGTCAGAACCTGGTGGATAAAGCAGGTCATCATCTTCCTGCATGTCTTTTGCATAGCCACTGGCAGCAATCTCTTTATCAAGAGAACACTCTCTCCTGTGAAAGAGGGATGTTAGCGTTTAATAGGCTAAATTATCAAGCTACCAATATGCTACAGTTTGGATTAAAAATGCTAATCAAGTTAGACTGTAATTACCTATCCTGTTAACAAAGGTTACTCTGCTGAAACACACATGATAGTGCTGCGCTTTAGGTAAAGTATAAACAGAATGTGACCTGAGAGAAGAAAACTTCTACAGAAGATGACTCCATCTCCACAACCTGCACTTATGTTTATTTACAGGAAATTGTTTTACTTTAGCAGGAAAACCATTTGGTTTTCAGTTCAAAGTATGCTGAAGCAAACAGTAATAAAGGGCCGCTGACACACAGAGATTGACTCAAGTCTGAGACCCCTTTGGGAAAGTGCTCAGAATGAAATGAAGCCATTTTCATTGCAACAGCTTCGGCCTTAAAATGAGTGAAATATTGCTTTACTTTTCCAAATGGAAAAAAGACATTAGGAAGAAAAGTTTGAATGTAATGCTTGAAGAGGCAGTCACCATAGTTATGAGCATTTTAAAAGCAGACTTAAAATTGAAACCCAGATTAATCCTCAATATACCAAAACTGTCAAACAGGCTGATTCTGCATCACTGTTAACATTTCCTGGACATTTATCATTTGGATCAAGCTTTCAGATTGATCTCTCTTCCTTAGTTGCAAGAAGACAGACAAAGGAGGCAGCACAGCATTTCAAAGCACACTTTAGCTTTTGAAGACCACTTACAGTAACTTTGGTTGAAGAAAACACAACAGGAATGACAAAAATATACTTTAAAATAGCATAGTTGGGCCTATTTTTTTAATTCTTGTACATGGATCTCTCACAGACACCCATTTGTTTTCCACAAAACCAACACTAATGTAATAAATAATAGAACTCAAGTTCATCTGGTTGTTTCTACCTGATGTCTTTGAATGTTGGGAAGAGCTCACTCTCGTAGGTGAAACGTTTCTTAAAGAACTCCTTAATACAGTTAACATCTCTGTCAAAATACCTGTAAAAAGCACAGAATTTTACAAACAAAAAAAAAATCAATGAATTCTACTGCAATGAGAAACTTTTACCTTACATTTCTTGCCTTTTATTGATTTTTTTTTAATTATTTCTATCAGTGACCCCAAGATAACAATCTAGGAAGAGAAACTGGATGCAGTTTAAATTTGTTTCCTAACTGAACAATATTATTATCTCTGAAAAACAATTAATTATGTATTTATTCTACAGAGATATTTCTACCTATTCTTTGTTTGGAATGTTGCTTGTGCTGCATGATAACAGTGACAGAAAAAGAAACACACTTTTGGAAACAAGTTATGGTTGACTGTTTGCTGTCAACAGCATTTACTCGGAAAATACCTTTAAATTTGAACCCACCACTCAGCATTTGTATGCGATGTTGACATCATCTGAGGGAAATCAATCAAAGTGGCATGATCATCATTATCCAAGATGAGATTAAATTCATTGAAGTCCCCATGAATCAGACCGTGATTGGCAAGTTTTACAATCAGATCCATTAATTCACTGTAGACAGCAGCAGGATCTTCCATGTGGTGCACCTGGCACCTGAAAAGTTAAATAAAATATCCTCAACTTTGGAAGACTTAACTTAAAAATACAGACAAGTTATATGAAATACATCTGACAGAATGCCAGGGTAATTCAAGTTATAAAGGCCCTCAGGTCTCAGGTCCAATACCCTCCTCAAAGCTGAGTCAACTCTGAGATCAGACCAAATTGCTCAGGTCTGTGTCTAGTTGGGATAGAAAAATTCCACGGAGGTAAAAAGGCTGTGCAACCTCCCCAGGCAACCTGTGCCACTACCTCTCTGTCCTCAACAGGGAAAAATATCTCCTTATACCCAGGCTAAATCTCATTTAAACTCACACTCGCTGACTGCCATCAAGCACCACTGTCATAATGCACTATTTAAATATTGGATCAGTAAACTTTTATGTCTCTCCTGTTTTAGGTAATCTTATGGTCTCAGTAGAAATTAAGGAATAAATTCCTTACTTGGACTAAGGAAAAAACTGTCTCTCTGAATAAAAATATAAGAGAAGCAAAACCCTATCAAATAGAATACTAGTGAGCATGGGCAGGAGGGCATTATTCAGCATGGTGAAGTCAGAATTCATTCACAAGACAAGGAAAAACCCTAACCCTATTACCTTTCTTAACTTGGCATTGTTAGGGTCTCTGTAACACAGCGAATTAAACCCTCACTACTTACAAAGGATAGCCATCAACAAGTTCCATAACAACTGCATGCCTGTTGTAGTCTATGGGCCTTGGAACAGGAAAATTTCTGTCATGCAAAGCCTGGAGAGAGGCAACACGATGAAAAATTAGAATTAAATAGTTAACGAAACATCACACATATTGACATCTAAGTTCATTTTTAAGTATTAATAATGAGCATTACACCACAATGAAGATTAACCAAAGGTCGGTCATAATATTTTGAAGCCCTCCTGTTTGCCTTTTCTAATGCACATTTATCCATTCACTCGATCCACTCAAGTTTTTAAGGGTTTGTTCTCTTTTTACACATTCTGTTGTTACCAGTGAATTTTTTTCTAAGACAGAGTCCCAAGTTAAAGTAATATAAATACACCTTTTGTTATTTAAGTGTTACACTATTACTGCTTTTCAGCACACAATTAATCCACCCCCCAACCCTCTGTTCAGAGAAACGTGACCCCCACAATTATATTCCCACAAGTTCTGACCACATAATGCTTTAACAGTTGAACCACTTAAACAAAAAAAGAGGTCCTAATGAGAGTATTAGTTCTTTCTCCCTCTGTGGAGGCCACTGGTAGAGCCCATCACAGGACTTTTTTGGAGAAAAAATAAAATAATATTTAATATATATACTACTCTTGAACACCACAAAAAAAGAAAGGAAAACTAGTTTTTTATAAATAGTTTTCCACTATCATATTTCAATCGCTGTACACTATCTGTGTTTTTTTCAGCAGGTCAAAAAATCCATAACTCTGAGAGAGGCAATATATTCTTGGAAATTAAATCTTTTCCCACAGTGAAGGACAAAGTGTGCCTTTTCAGATCAAAACACTAGTCTGGACTAAAAGATTTCCCTCAATAGCACAGCAACAGGTGAAAAAACAGTAGATTAAAAGATAAAAGAATTTTAAGAAATTTCAGCTGTTTGCAAGCTTATGCAATGAATTTTAAAGGAAAAACTGCAGAGCTGGTGAAACACAGATTATCTATCCATAAATAACAATGTCAAACTCAAATTCACTGACACTGTGCTTCTGTTCCACGTGATTTCCATGGCAAAGCTTATGGAAATTGTACAGAACATAAAGTAAACATTTCAAAGACTTACAATACTATAAGTCCATCAGGGGAAAGAAAAAAATAAAGCCTAAATCCTACCAGTCCTGAAAACATAGACTGATCAAAAGGCAGTCTGAAAGGCACCTTCCAGTCAGTTACACCACTGCTGACACTATGAGTGGCCACCTACCTTCATGTAGGCAAACTCCTTCATTGCCGCTATCCTAGATAAATACAGCCATGACATTTTGTGTCTGTGCTTGTGGTAGTCACGTTTATTCTTCAAACTGCGGAAGGAGGTTCTTCCAAGGCGGTGTAATTTCAGCGCAAACTGTTGCTCCTCTTCGTTTGCAACAATATAAATGTCTAGAAGACACACACACAAGGGCACGGATCTAAGGAACAAATGAAATCTAACAAGCCACAGTAATTTTGTTACTTCTCACCATTTCTGGCATGGCATGTTCTCCTACAGTAAAGGCAGCTGAATTTACAGCGTGTGTAGATCTGAACATGAAGAAGTTACTGTGATACTCCACATGTGATACTCATGATACTCCACTAGAAGAAATACTGATGTGATGTGGAACATGTTTCAGAGTTCACCTTTTCAGAGAAAAACCCTTCAGCTTAAGATTCCTACGTTCAGGTTTCACACTCCTGGACTATCTGCACAGCAAAGGGCCCTTCTTGAGGGAAATCCAGGGCAGATGCTGTTCTTAATCACACTCTGGAGGACCCACTCCTTTCTGCTGAGTGGACAACCAACCCAAGGGGGCAGACTCTTAATGTAAACACTGTTAACAAATAGCCTATGTTTCATTTCGAGCATTTGTCCCCCAATTAATCCCCTTCTCCAATTACAGAAGTTACATCCTGTGTCAAATTACATGAACATAGGAGGAACCAAGATAGTATTCCAACGGTTTTGAGTCTATTTTACTTTACTGCCTTATTTTTAAGTGGGATGAAAAAGCTGAAATTTTTTTTTGCTAAAATGGTTTGAAACTCTTCACAAAGCACGAGACAAGTAGCATCTGCCTGCAAAGCACCTTTTTAAGTGATGAACTAAGAACCAAACAAAATGGGCAAAGGACAAAAGCATTCCTGTAAAGAAATATTCAAATGTAGCCAAAAGCCTCACGTACCATTTGAACGACTGACCTTGGTGTTTCACAGATTAACTGATGCAACTATCCAGAGAAAAACTCACCTAATTTCTAGCAAAATATTTGCAACATTAAAGCTGTGTCTGCTTTAAGAAAATTATTAAAAATGTTATTTTATTTACCTGATTCTTTGCCAACACCCATCTGGTTTCCTACAGAAGTGATGACTTGTCTGGAAGAGAGAGTTTTCAGAGCAAGGTAATCATATCCTGCATTAGTTAACCGGTAACCCTGGACAGCTGGGTAGAAATAAAACACAAGACATTTCATTCCTTATTATGTATACATCACTTTTAAAATAAGCCTCATTTTAGTCTTGCTTCAGCTTACACCCCAAGTAATATTTCACCCCTTAGCTCCTTATCAGTCCAATTTGACTGAAAGGTAAAGATGTTTCAATTTCCACAACTTATGAAAATTGACAGCTGTGCAAGAGACAGAAGTGCTGCCCGTCTCTAGAAGAGGCAATGGCAGTATCTTAAACAGCCTGGGAAAAGCCAGCATTTGGGAAGATACACATATAGGTGACACAGCAGGGACCTGGGATTGTTGCGATGAACTACAGAAACCCTTAATCTCTGAAGAACTGGGACAAAAGGAACAGGTATTTCCTGCAGACCCGCCCAGTATGTTTGCAGGGCCAGATGCAACTAAAAGGCTGAAGGGAATGGGGAAAGGCCTGCACAACTTGCCATGTGGCAAGGAATAAAAACTGCTTCAGTAGCTGTTCCTGGGGGGCGAAATGTCTAAGGACTCTGCAGTCTGTTCCAGAACTGTAAGGATGAAATTCACTTGGGTTGATTCCTACATGCACTTGAACATTGTTTTAACTGGTTCTTTTTATTTTATTCTGAGCAAAAAAGTGAACTGTCCATCTCTTTTCTGCCTGTCATCTCTGTAGGTACACACAGCTCAGCAGACACAGCACTTGGCGCTGCACAAACCCACATTCCCCGGGCAAGTCCAAGAGAAGGCATCACAACTGCTCACACATCCCAACCAGTTGTGCACGTACAACTGTGAGGCACTTGGAACAGACTGAGAGAGGGAGTCCCAACACAAAACTCAAACTCACTTTTGGTTTGTTCATAAGCCAGAAGTTTGTGCTTCACCAGCTCCCTCAGAATTTTATTGCAGCCACCGTGTTTGAGATTGGCAATGGAAGCGACCAAGCTTGCAGGAACTATTTCATGGTTTTTCATGCCCATTTCCACCTAAAAACAGATAAACAAAAATAATTTGTCAGCCAATCCAGCCTGAGGAATTCTTCAGTTACAGCCAGAAGATGAGAGTGGCTGATTAGATTTTAGTCCCAGCCACCATGAGCAGAGACCTGGTGATGCTGATGATGTAACCTTGCTGGGGGTGTGTGACCCCCTGAGCATCCCCTAGGAACCCCTGGGACCACCTCAGCATCCCCAGCAAGCACCCAGGACCCCTTGGCCATCCTCCATGATCACCTGGGCATCCCCAGTGACCACCTGAGCATTCCCTGGGCATTCACAGGGACACCTTGAACATCCCCAGTGATCCCCTAAGCATCCCCACGGACCACCCAGGACCCACTGGGCATCCCCAGTGACCCCCTGAGCATCCCCTAAGCATCCCGAGCAACAACACAAGACCCACTGGGCATCCCCAGTGACCCCTTGAGCATCCCCAGGGATCCGCTGAGCATTCCCAAGGATCCCCTGAGCATCCCCAGCAACCACTTGAGATCCCCTGGGCATCCCCAGCTGCCCTCTGAGCATCCACAGTGACCACTAGGGACATCCTGGGTGTCATCCTGACTGACCACCTGAGCTACCCCAGTGTCCTCAGGGATGAGCCGGGACCTCTTAGGCATCCCCAGTGATCCCCTTGGCATCCTCTGGGACACCCTGAGCATCCCCTGGGACCACCCAGGAATCCCTGAGCATCCCCAGGGACCACTAGGGACCCTTTGGGCATCCCGAGTGACTACCTAAGCATTCCCTGGGCATCCCCAGCGATGCCTGGGCACCCCCAGCGACCGCTCGGGACCCCCTGGGCAGCCCCAGTGACCCCCTGAGCATCCCCAGGGACCACCCGGGACCCTTTGGGCACTCCCAGCGACCAACTCAGCACCCTCAGCGCCCCCCTGCCCTCACCGCTCCCTCCCATCCGGGCGGCCGAACCAGATTTCGGCCCGACCAGGTCCCTGCCCCTCAGGAACCCCCAGCGAGGAGCCTCGGGGAGGGGGAGAGGACACGGACACCACACACGGGTCCCGCCCGGCCCGGCCCGGCCCGGCCCCGCTCACCGCCGTCAGCACCCTGAAGTGCTCCCGGGACAGATACCGCAGCATCACCACGTTCAGCTTCCCCATGGCCGCGGTGAGGGGGGCGAGGGGGAGGAAAAACAGGAGGCAAAATAGAGAAAGAGGGAAAACAGGGAAGAAGAAGGGGAGGAGGAGGGGGAGGGAGTGGGACGCGTGCGCAGAGCGACTCCCCAGGTGGGTCCTGGCAGCTGCGTGAAAGCTCCTGTCTCAGATCAGCTCAAGATCTTTGTGCTCTTCCCTCCTCACCGAGCCGGGATGGACCACGAGCCAAAACGGATCCAGACGCCGCTCCCAAATCAGCATCTTCTGCCTTCCATCCCTCCCTGCTGCGGAGGGAGAGTTGTTTGTGCGGTTCGCACGCAGCTGCCAGGACCTGTCCCAGGAATGGCCGCTGCTCCCTCGTCACGTGACAGCCGGGAAAAACGTGGTAATCCAGGGAATCGGTGTCGTTTGGGGTGGGAAAGAGCTCTAAGGGTCTCCAGCCCAGCCTGTCACCCGACACCAGTCAGTCAGCCAGACCAGGGCACTGAGTGCCGCGTACAGTAAAGCGAAACATAAACACACGTTACATACATGTATATACAGTTATATATAAACATGCAAACATATATAAACATACAAAATATAAACATACAACTGTACAAACATACACACATATATAAACATGGAAGCATATATAAACATGTAACACAAAGGATAATTTCTCTCATAGAGAAGGGTTATAACATTCTCTCACAGAGAAATTATCTTCTTTTTATATTAGAAAAAAGAGCTTTAGGATCTCCAGATAATGCTATACCAATACTATAAAAATATTTTATCTGCTTATAACTGATGTAATAGCAATTATATTAAAATGTGTGTGTGCAAACCTTGCAGTCTTGCTTTTGGAAAAGAGCTGCTTCTGCTGTTCCAGCCATAGGAAAATGAGAATATGCTTAAAATGGACATGATAGCAGTACTGGTGGGAACTGGAATTTTGCTAAAAGCTACTAAGCCCAGATTCCTGCATTAAACATGCTTTTTTTTCTTCTTCTTTCATTTAGAGCTGTCCTTCACTTCCTTTTTAGTTGTCAAGTGTGTATTGTTAAGTTACCTAATCAGTCATAGGAGTCTGTGTGATGGAAAATGTTGTATCACAGTGATCCCTGCTCAGCTGGTGCTTAGAAAAAATCCAGGAGCCGTTAGTTGGGGTGAGATAAGGAAAGGATTTAATTGTGCCAAGGCAAGAGATGTTACACGACGCGCGCCCCGGGCGCGGCCCGGATGTTACATTTATAACAATATCTGGCCAATCCCAAGTGTGTCCATCCTCTGACTTTTGCTCTGGTCCACCCCCTGGCCCACCTCCCAGAATTGGGTCGGGGGGCTTTTTGGGACCCCCTCTTCATCATCCTTCATCATCTTCGGGGTACAGAGAGCAGAGTCACCCAGTTCCTTGACTCTGTCCTGCGGTTTAGGCCAAGATACAAGCGTTCGCCAAACAAGACAGGCTTGCCTTGACTAAGAGACTAAACATTTTCTACTGGATACGGGAATAGGGCTGATATGGGGGGTATGGAATGGGGTAAGAGGGTTAAGGAATGTATAAACTAAGGGGTGCTAGGGGAGGAGGGAGAAAGGAATGTTTCTAAAATCTACTTCTATTACCTATAAAACTTATAAGGTAGAAAAATAAGAAAACCATTATGGGCTTAAGGCATCAACAGGACCTGGTCAGAAATGATCATGTGGGACCAGTAGAATAGTATTAAAAATTCAGCCTTAAAATGAATGCTGTCAGCTGTATAAAAATGATCCAGTCTTCATGATGTATTTAACATGAATATTCAAAATCTCTTCCCACCAAACTGCTCTTCTTCTCTATTATATATCAAAATCCATCTGTGGGCTCACAACGTTACTTGCCAAAAATCTTCCCTTTTTTTGTTTTTGGTATGAAGAGGTTTACCTACAAACATTAGTAGTAGATCATCCTGTTTATACATTATGCACAAAAATGCACTGAATTTGACAAGTATTAAAATGTGACACAATTTATATAATTTTAAATTTTAGTATCATTCATGAGTGTTTAAAGGAATACAAATAAAATATTTCAGTACAGAAACAAATGTGGTCTTCATAAACTGACTGCATTTAAAAATGTTTTTTACTAGGGGTATTTTACAATGCATTTGAAGAAATTACGTGTTAAAGGATGCCAGTTAGTTGGTTTTTTAGGGTTTTTTTCGGTTTGTGGTTTGTTGGTTGGGGTTTTTTGTGACAGTTTGGAAAAGCAGTCAGATTTTCAGTTGATTTACAGGTGATTTACAGCTGGAACAACGTTTCATGTCAGTTTGGTGTGAAATAATCAGTAAGGAAGTTATGATCAAAATAGTCAAACTAATCAGACAAATGGCTCAACATGTACATATTTCTGTATGATCACATTTTATTTTTGAACCTTTTTCTGCCTGTAGGTCTGAAAAACACCTAGTATCTAGTGTGCCACTCATATTTTGCACTTAGAGAAATCCTTCACTAAGGTGAGCACTGAAGATGCCAGAAATAAGTCAGTGGTAGTTGCCAATGAGAGATACCTAGGAGAGGGCATCAGACAAAGGCATGCATGTGATACTTTTGCAGCACACCCAGCAGTTTGCAGCTCAGACACTTCCTGAACATTCGGTTGTGTTTGATAGCTCTCCACAGTACTTGTCTTTCTGGGGCTTGGATTGTTTTTGAACATTTGAAAAGTTCAGTGTGGCACAAAACTGGGCAGCAAGAAGTTTCATGGCTTAATTACAGGAGAAGCATGCCCTGCATGCTTTAAATCTGCTACTTGCATTATATGCCACTCTTCTTTTCACTATTGCCCTAAAATACACAGATGCAATTCAAGCTGCTTTTATTCAGGCTCTCCATATCTCTCGCCTTGATGTGGGATGCTGTATTTGCCACGCAGTAGAGGGTTCATCCATCCACTTGTCAAGCCCCATTTTTAGTCCATTTAGTGTTTTTCTCAGATCTCTTCTTTCACTGCAAGTGCAGCTACTCTTAGATCAAATTTAATCAGAAGAGGGCAGCATTTCACTTATTTTGACAAATTGTTTTGCACCATTTCACACTCAAAAATGACGGTACAGCTTGTGGGGCCCTGAGAAAATGCTCTGATGAGGGTTTGCCTTTCAGCTCTGCTCACCATTCAGCCTCCAGAGCGTGGTACAGCAGTTCTACAGGTAATGAACACATTTTCCCTTAACCTAATTAAAAATAATAATGTCAACCACATTGCCTCAAATTCAAAAAATAATATCCTGGAAGACTTTTACTAGGTTCTGGGGGAATTTTACAAAACCACTTTCTGTATGCAGTTAAAATTGCCTGAAGTGGCGTAATTCTATGCAATTGCATAGAAATACACATTATTTATAAACCTTCCATTTTTAGGGTTGTAAAATGTCTCAGCTGATGGCTGATGATCTACTTGATCATCTACTTGCAAGAAGTTACTTGCAAGAAGAGGAGCTTTAGTTCAGCAAAGGAAGGTGTAGGGAAATGCAAAATATTGTCATATCCTGGAGCTGTCTCTTCCACTATGTGTGGAAAATGGCATTCGAGACGGGACCCTGCAATAATGCATATCTGTTGTGTGCACACATCTCTGAAAATATTTATACAGCCCTGTGTCCATTCGGAGCTACACGGGTTCAAAAGATCAATCAGTCACATACCCATGTCTGCTTGCAGGGAAAAAGATTCAGTTTCTGAAAGCATCACTTGGATGTTGGATGAAGTAGTGGAATTTTGTTCATGGCTTTTTTTGTCATTGTCAGTGCTATTTTTATATCAAACTACACACCTAGAATTTGTCACTACATGAAATATGTTTGCTTGGATGGAGACTTTTGCTAACCTTTGAAGTTTTCAGCTCTAAACTGGAAACATGCCTACTCACAGTGTATCTGTATTCATAGGATCAAAGCTTGCTTGAACATTGAGGTAGAAAGGTAAGATGATTGCAGAAAGCAGTTGATCACGCAGCTAATCTGTAGAAGGGAAGGGTATCCTGGTAGAAAAAGGAAATTTCTTAAAGTGGTGATGGAATATTCACCTTGGCTTCTCACCAACCACATCTGTTATATTTAGCAGTAAATTAGATTAATTTTTCTCAAGTGGAACCTGTCTGGCCCACAACAGTAGCTGATAATCAACTTCCCTGCCATTATCTCATCCCAAGAGCTTTCTCATCCTGTGTCCTGCTCCATCCTGGGTGAGAGCTCGGCCCTTCACCATGGTTAATGTTGCACAATCCTAAGTTTGCTGCCAGCCCACATGTTTGGTAGAGACTGTTCCATGAGACCTTCTGCATCAGCACAGATCAAGAAGACTTAGAATTGGTGGCCCAGATGAGTGCTTTCACTCCTCTCTTCCCTGTGTTTTGGAATATGCCAATATTTGAATATCTCAAATAGGGTAGAAGGTAGATTCAATGTTTGAATTCCTCAAAGCAGGAGATAGATTGGGGTATTATGCTGATATTCACTGTTTCCCTAGTTAACCTCAGCATGTAGTGACACAACTCAGATTGAGAAGAGAGTGTATCACATTAAGGTCAGAATTTAGCCCTAAATCCCCATGGGGAAGAGATGAAATAACAGACTGGAAACCCTGCAGCTGAGATCTGCAGAGAGAGGCCAATAGCAGTAGTGTGTATGACAAAACAGTTGTCATTACAAGCTCATTAGCCAGATGGATTTTATATCAACATATAAAAATGAAAGCTTTTCCAATAAGAGATGGTACATACTTCATAAATACTTCACAAATTTATGTCAACTTTTGATGTCCCTAACCTCAAATCTTGTCTTTCACAGTATTAAAATCCCCATTTATCACCTTGGCAACAGAGAAGTGAAATTATTCTGATTCAGTTGATTGATTTAATCATTGCCTGTAAAATCACTTCAGGAAGATGCTTGCACTAAGTCCTTCAAAGTTGTGCACAGTTAAAAGACCAAAAGCTTCCAACCACTTGGATGAGAAGCAACATGTGTAATTCTTCTCTCTTATTTATAGGCAATGTGTACAGGACAGGGTTTTATGTCCAGAGATGTCACACAGCCAAAACCATGGAGGAATGAAATCACGTTTTAATATTGCAAGTGTTTGTGTCAGAGCA